CGGAGAGGCGGGAGTTGCCGTGGCAACGCGTCCCGCCTCGCCGCCTCAGCGGCCTCCGCGGCTTTTCAAATGCTATCGCCGCTGGCAAGTTTCCCCTCTACGTTTCAGACCCTCCGCTATCATTAATCATGGGACTCGAAGAGCAGAGGCCTTAGCGGTGATACTGAAATGCTCACGACACGAGGCCAGAGCTTCCACGCGGATTTGCCTCGTCACAGATACCTATGCTGAAGTAAGGGGTCTGGCAGGCCTTTGCCCTCGCACAGATGCATGTACAGGGGCCTCAGGTGCCGCAAGGGAGGAGGTAGGACCTGAGGTGGCCAAGAAACGGTGTTGCTGCTCCTGTCAAGGGAGCTCATTGCAGGGCAGCCCTTGCTATTGGGATACTTTCGCTGTCAGTTCTTCAAAGTCAGAAGAGAAACAGCCTCAACAACAAGCACACCGGGTGTTTTCGATCCCTATGCTACCTACAGAAATTGCACACGTAGAAAAGGAACATGTTACTACTTTCAGTTGTTTTACAACATAGCATGGCATGTGGCTGGCTTGCTGCCAACACTGTCAGCAGGCTGGAGTGCTGAAGAGCGCCTTGTCATTAACAAGTGTCAACCAAAGTGAGTACCACAGAAAGCAGAGGTTTCCTTAGAAGTCTAAGACCATTTAAAAACTTGCTGCCATGAAAGCAGGTAGATCTGTTCTCTCTCTTGCTCCTCTCCCTCCACACCTCCCATCCCCACACCAGTTCTGGCTCTCAGGGAAGCAACCAAGCCTGTCTAAGTATTTGGGTTTTTTGGTACTTGCTTTGTTTTCCTGGCAGTTGGATGAGCTGAACTTGTTCACAAAGGGGACAAATAAATCACTAGAGCTAGCTGAAGGTAGAAGGTGAGCTCACCCTTTTGAGCAGCAGTGAACCATTACACCAGCTCAGATAGATAGCCTAAGTACAGACTCTTGCTTCACAAACACCATTAAACCAGTCAAAGTTGATTTCACCTGCTTCAAAGTTCCCGGATCGTAGCAATGGAAACAGGGTGCTGGTGCAACCAAAATGCACTCAGCAGTGGCCATATTCCACCCTCCAACAAGAAAAATCCAAAAGGACAGGCTGAAGAGGTGCCCGGTGAGGAATATTATGCCATGCATGCAATGAGGAATATGATCATCTTTTGGGACCTGAGGGCTTGCAGTACCCCACCTCGGATGAGGCTGCTGGACTGGCCTTCTGGTATAGGTTATAGGTTTTGTGTATTTTGCAGTTAAGGTTGCGTTTTAGCTAATAATTGACTTTTTAGTCTTGCTTTTTTTCCATCCTGCTTAAAAAAATGATTCTTATGTGAGAGGTCATTATTACACTGAGAACAAAATCCAGTAAGTTGGAAAAACACAAATAACCCCCAAATACACCACCCCCCGTATATATACACACCAATGTATTGTACTATTGTATCTGTACTATTTAGACATTTAAAATTGTTAATTTATGTAATTTTTGTATTTATTTTCAATGAATCACAGCAGCAGGATTTGCTATTGATGGCAAGGAAGTAAGTCCATGCGAGACTGAAGAGTAAGATGCAAAAAATCCCGTCCGCCCTCTCCCCCCCCCCTCTCACCTCCCGTCCGCCCTCCCCCCCCCCCCATCAAACTTCTAAGTGGGATTAGTTTAGTGCATTTCATAAACCTTATATGGAAGAGACACATAACCGACACATTAAAACGGAAAAGAAAGAATCCACAAAACAGCTTGTGGAGGAAAAGGGAATGAAACTGGTGTTACATGCAGCAATCCCATACACATGGGACATGGTTTCATGTGCAGCTGAGCTAGTTGCACAAGGTGCATTGCTGCCCAAAAGGGAAATTATCCCTTTTCCCTTGCCCTGTCCCCCCTCAATGCTTCCCCTACCCCTTTAACATCTGGAACTAGATTGTGGAGAGTCCCTGAATGCCAAAGCTGGCACAAGCGTAGGAACCCTGTTATTGTCAGTGAGCTGTTATGGCAGCTCACTCCATGTTGTTGAGGTGTACTCAGCTAGACTGCATGATCCTGTGGAATTAGCGAGCTCTCATACTGTGTTTTTTAAGCAAAATGACTCCTATCTTATGACTAAGTGTACGTTACTGAGTGTCAGCCTGCTACAGGGACAGAGCTAGCCCCAAAACAATGAGAGCAGTAGGTTAAGTTTAACTCTAATGAAGATTAAGGCTGTTGGGGGATATATATTGCATTTCTAGCTTCATTCTTTTCAGCTCTTTAGTGTTTATCTGGATATATACCTGTACGACCACACATGCTTCCCTTCCTTTTTCACCAAGTATCTATCAAACATTAGGACCTGGCTGTAAAAGCAACTCCAAAGCCAGCACTGCTGTACTGGAGTATAATGATGGTTGATCTGAGAAAAAAACAGCAATTAACCAGGGTCAGAATTTCTAATACATGCAAGATTATTTCTTACATATGAATGGCCAGCTGTTCAAAATGCTTGAGATTCAGACTCTTTCAGTGCTAGATGTTAAAGGCAGTGATTGAGAAGAACAGGGCAGACATTCAAACCCCTTAGAAGGGTACAGCAGTACTGTCAGGACCATAGAAACCAAGTATCTCAAACTGCAGAGACAGTTGCATCAGGCATAAATTTTAGGGTTTTGGCAGCAGGCGGCTGCAGGGGTGACCTGTGCAGGAAGAGACCAGGAACTGCTCTGCACCACTCCAAACCATTTCCAACCTGCTCTGAAATCCTAAACAACCCATTACACCAAAACATCAATAAATCAGAGGAGCACATGGTGCCTCTGCTCAGGCATACTTCGGGCAGCAGTTGTTGGGAGAGGTGATCTTGGAAGGAGAAGCTCCATGCAGAGCACGGACCATCTTTCAAGCAAGTTAAAAATAAACATCAGACTTTAGAAATTCATTGTAAAAGGAGGCTGAATAGACTTAAAAACCAAAACTCTTTCTCCTCATCTGTTCTGAAAATTGAGAGTATACTTCTCACGTACTTAACTAGAAAGGCCGAGCATCACTAGCATAAAACAGTCAATATCTCTGCCTTAAAGAACACTTTTAATTAATGAAGGATGATACTTAACTGCCTGGGTAAGACAGAAAACAACCCATACAAAGGTAAGGATTAAACATATTGAAGGCAGGCTTCCAGCACAATGGTTGAGGCAGCAAGAGGAACAGTGAATGATTTGCAACTGGTCACCTGTTGTAACTTTCTCAAAAAGCATCTTAGAATAGATCATTTATTTATGCGAAACCCACCATTAAGAGAGACACGCAGGCAATGAAAAAAAACAGTTCACATTTTTGGCTTGGTGTGCTGTTCATGCTTTCAATAACATTTCAGGTTGTGGGGGTGGTTTTTTTTTTGTAAACTTAAAACATCAGAAGATACTGATTTGAAGTATTTTGTTACAAATTTCCCAGAACTGAGTTAAAGTCTATAGATCATCAATGAGGTTCAAAAATAGTACGCATTTAAAACATCTGCAAACTTTGGTGATTAACACACACACTTCAGCAATGTAGATTGGTGCTCTGCTCTCTTTCAAACAGGTACAGTGGAAAAGTATCTCATTACAAGCAAAGAAAGGCCAAAAGATGGTTTCATAATAGCAACAGATAAAACAATCTAGCAAGAATACTTCCTCTGCTGAGAGGCAGCTGGTCAACTCTTCACGAGCCTCAACCTCCTACAGGCCTCAACTTCCCCACGTCTAAATTGTAATTCTTTTGAATGATGTTAGTTTTTAAACCCAACTGGAAGGCAGTATTTGGTAGTTCCTCTAAAAATGGGGGGGGGGGGACG